CAAACTGGCAGGTAAGGTTTCTACGCGCTCCGCCAAAGTGACTTGGCTAATACCTCTCTTTATTGTTCCTATTAACGTACCTATAAGCTCCGAACCACAATGTCAATTACTCGCATCTTAAAGGCTCCCAAGAAAAATCCTTCACCTCCCTTCCACTTTTCAAATTAACACCACCACTTACACCCCATAATCACGACCGGCGACCGGTTAATACACGACTGCATGCTAACCAGCAACTCTAAACCTCGCAAGCCAAGCAACTCGCTTCCAAAGCCACCGTACACCAGAAACTCTCCTTCCTTTTACTTCGTTTCTTCAACGAAACCCTCCAACAGACTCCAGTCAGCGTTCTCCTAAGCGTAACGCCAAGAATCGTGCGTTTATTCAGGTAGGTTGGAAAAAGCACGCGGGACAAACCGGCTAATTATCGCGGAACGTTTCCACGCTGCTCGCCAGGCTTCTCTTTGCTGCACAGCGTAAAATCACGGAGATTATCGGTACAGTTATTACAACAAACAGCAACGCGTTTCACGGCGAGCCGCAACTTTTAGACGCGGCAACGACCATGCTAAACTCCCGCGGAGATATTCACTTTGCCTGGCGCGTTCCAAAGGAGGAAACGGGTACCCGTCCTCGCGCGGAACGAGCTTGTCCGAGATAAAAATCGCCTAAACGACGGTGTATTTTTAGGAATTCTCGCAATTTCCGCTGGGTAGAAACAGAGACTGCACGACGTATTATAAAAGAGACTCGTTGGTGAACGCGCCAGGTTGGCGCCACTGCGAGCCATTCGCGCTTCGTTCGCGGCGGAACGACAGGGCAGCCTTGAACCAACCTTCCGAGACAACCTTGCACGATCGTTTTCCACACCTGCTTGCGGGAATGGCCTGTACATTTCGTGTCGTTCATTTCGATTCGTCAAAGCGGGTATGGTACGTGATCCTGGTGCAAAGTGTTGGTAAAGCGAGGTGTTAAACTGAGAGAAGATGGCTGAGGGCGTGGTTGTTGAGTTAAATGGTTGGCAGATAGCAATGGAATGTGTTACCACGAGATTGAACTTTTAGTCTTCACCACTGTTTATTCTATTTTCTTTCTAGGTTCAACGTTTCTCTGAGATCTTTGGTTATTGAATTTTCAGCTTCCTAGCGACAGTTTGTTCGGGTTTAAAGGTTCATACGGATTTTCCAACGGTGTACGTTTCTGATATCGCCTCACAGGAAATGGTAGAATCTTACAAAGAAGTACGGAAGTAACAATAGACCGTATCGACACAGTGTACAAATACCTCTACATGTAACACGATAATAAAAGTAAAGGAAAGGAAGAATGTGTAGAAAAATGGAAACTTTCTTTCACAGACTTTCCTGCCGAGTTCGTGATAGAAAATACACAAATGTATAGTTTATGAAAGAAAAAGCGGATGGAAGACAGAAAGGGTTAAATGATGTTCGTTTATTATCGACAAAGTTCATCCGTCGTCGCGCGATGCGCCATTTATCAAAGAGGAACGCTGGGCTGTGACGTTTTCTTCGTGTTGGCGCGTGTTTCAATTCGTAGCGGGACATCGTCAACGGGAACGACGAGGCGCGATAAGAGTTCCGATGAGACAATGCTTTTACTCGAGCGACGACAACGAGACCGGTCCCGTGGGACGTCAGTCGACGAAATAAATTTTCGCGTCACGTCGCGGAAAAGAAACGCGGGACGTGCAACCGGTCCTGATACATCAACGGCCACCTAAGTCAGCCAGAGGAGGAGCTTCACGAGAGAAAATCGGGGAAACGTCGTTGGCGAATCTTTGACCCTGGCGCGAAAATCAAACCGACTGTTGGAATCGTTAGGTGAGTTTGCGATTGCAAATTTTTAAGGGAGACGTCCAGTTTGAAAGGGTCAAAGGATGATTTCCTTTTTTGCGTGAATTGGAAGTATGTACAACGTCCCAAATATATGACTCTACGGTATTAAGGAGGAATTCAGAGAACTAATAAAGTTGCAAGCAGATTTATGAAGACGTGTCAGCGCTTCAAGTGGGGAATCAGGAATCTGTAATTGCTTTGTGGGGACAAGAATCTCTATTTCTGCTGATCACATGCGACACATCTAGCGCTTCGCTTCCTCGCTGCTCTCAATAGCCATTTACGTGTCGTAAACCCTTCGTTCAGTTGGCATAACTATGGATCCATAGTCAGAGCATCCC